GTGTGTGTGTGTGTGTGTGTGTGTGTGTGTGTGTGTGTGTGTGTGTGTGTGTGTGTGTGTGTGTGTGTGTGTGTGTGTGTGTGTGTGTGTGTGTGTGTGTGTGTGTGTGTGTGTGTGTGTGTGTGCGTGCTTGTGTGTGTGCGCACGGAAGGAAGCATGAACTGCATGCAAATCCGCTCAGAAAGGTGTCATCGGACACGACGCAAAGCGATGCAGGTTCACCTGTAGAGAAATTCACCCGGAAACGGTGGGATCGGATGCGACACGGCCGGCCTTTCAAAATGGAAATCAATGGTAGAAATCACATTAAACGACTATTCGACGTGGTGCGACATGCTGGGGCTCTTTGGCGGGCAGGGTTGGGAGGCAGGAATGGGTTCTACTTCAAGCGCCCGTCAACTACAATCCCCCAAATTCTTAAGATTTAAGAAATACGCATGCCTCAGTGAACAACTGGAACAGTGCGACCCCCTTGCAGATGGATGCCTGATGTGACATGGCCAGGCTTGCTTTGACATGTGCCGAAGAAAAGACGATGAGCAGGTGGCTCGCTCGTGGTGCTTTGTGATCCTGAGAAATGCTTAGGATGCCTTCGCTGAGGCATGTATCAAGAAGTACAGCTGCATTGAGAAAGCAGACAAGGAATGGCACAAGGTTCAGGCTGTGCCATACTGGCCTTTGCTCCTGCTTTTGCCCTCTTTCTGACTCTCCGAACCACACTTCTGCTCAGTCTCAATCTCAGTTTCAATCCCTCCCTCGTTCTCTCGCGCGAGCTTGCAGTGCATTCGGAAGTCATGGCTTCTCGGGTGTGCAGAGGCCTGCGAGCGTGAGGAACAGTGCGCCATGCAGGGAATGCTAGGCCTGCGCCACCCTGCCATGGTCGGAAGTGGGAGCTGTTTTCGTGCTGGATCTGGTAGCTACAAGCAGGCACTGGCAAGGGCTTCGTGCTGATGTCGGTGCTTGCCTCCGTGCTGCCCCGTGCTCAGAACGCTGGTTTGCCAGACAGGCCAAGGGCCTAGATGACCTGCTTTAACCTAGGCCTGTTCTGGGCACGATTTGCCTGGGTCTCTTTCAGGATGAGAGCATGTGTGCATGTCAATTGCAATTGCATGCCTTCGGAGCGCATCATGAGAGGAGCCATTCCAGCTGGATCCCTCGGACTTGAGGCTGTCTGCGACAGCGGGCTTGCAGCTTGTAACAGCTTGCAGTTGTTGTCAGTAGCCTCGTTTCCTGGCTAGGACCTGTTTAGCAGAAAATATTGGACCATGATTGTCCATGGCGGCTTGTTGCAGACACTAGCAAACGGACAGGAACCTCTACTGCATGGACTACGTTGCGCGGGCCATGTGGCTGTTCGGAGCGGATTTACCGGGAAGGGCAATTTTGGTGTCCATCGAAAGTTTTTGCAGACTTCGGTGTTGTGGTGAGCCTCAAAAAAGCATCTTGCTTGGGAGGAGTGGCGCTCACCACCTACGTAGTGTGGCTTCTGGCCGCCTCTTGGTTCCAGCATCCGTAACGTCTTCAAAGGAGCTTAAATAAGGTCTTGCTTCCTGACACGGGCTCTGCACCGCGCCTGTGTCACCAAGGCGACGTTCAGCCCAAGCGGTGAGGAAGAGGGACTTTTCGTGGAGACTCGATCAGGAGGTTAGACTTGTAGAACATGCTAGAACCAAGGGAATGCAATCTGGTCTCGGTTCCATTCGGTACGGTTTGTAAGGAACTGATTTCTGGGTTTCCTATGGCTCGGTTCGTTGGCTCGGACGGTTGGTTCCGCACGGTTCCGCACAGTTCTTTTATGACAAAATTCAGGCTGTCGGGCTGCATTGAAATGGCCCCCCCTGTGAGACACCACCCCCTAGGAATCAGGGGCCATAATGGAAAAAGTGTTGGTAAACTGCATGTTCGGATGGTGATGGATGGTGCATCATCCGCAGGTCTCGCTCTGAGGAGCTCTCAGGTTCTAAGGGCCTCGAGCAGAACCGAAGCAGTACATTTCACCTGAAACCTTCCGTTCGCGTGTCCCGGCCGCTACCAAGGCACATACAGTGTGCATACAGTGTGCATACATTGGCATACATTGTGCATACAGTGTGCATACAGTGCAGACCTCCCGGAGAAACATTCCAAAGAAAGTCAATGAAGAGGGAACACCCTAACCCTGAGCCAAAACATCAAATAACTTCAACCTTAGTGGCAGGCTTGCAAGGGAGGGGGGATCTAGAGATTCTAGAGGGTCAAGGGCCTTTTAGGAAACCTCTAAATGCCTGCGGCCGAGGTGTTCTGATCTCGGTGCAAGAAGCCCCTAAGTTTTGCAGCACTCGCTCAAAAAGAGAAGAAGTTCTGGCTGCTCAGCAAAGGAAGCGGTGGCCAGCGTGTTCGCTCTGATGCTGAACTGCGGCGCCTGCTTCTGCATCAGCCTGTCGAGGCAGGGTTTCCCGAGGTCTCATCTCCCAAGGCAGCAAGAATAGCAGCAAGAATTGAGAAATTTGGGTTGAGAGCAAGAGTCTTTGTTTTGAGTTGCACCATGGGCCACCGGAAGGTGTTGCATGGCCCCGAACGGGTACCAGAAGTTGCAGCAACAGCAGTGATGGCACCTGACCATCTCGCATCTCACGCAAGAAGCGGGAGCGCTGCAACCCAACCCTCCGTACACTCCGTGTACACTCCGTACACTGTATCTACTGTATCTGTATCTCCTGCATCTTTCACTGCGGCACGATGAGAGCTGGGCTGGACATGTGTCTTGATATCGGGAAGTGAACACGCAGCACACGCAGCGAGCTTGCAAATGCAAAGTCCGACCAAATTTGCACTACAAAGCACAGCACTAGCCTTCTGAGTGCTGCACGGCTGAATTCGGGAGCGCTTTCCTGAAGAAAGGAAGCTTCTTCTCTACAGCAGGCTGGAGTCCATTGTTTTTTGGGCCGCGATCGGCAAATGTCTGGTACTGGGCTCGGTGGACCCTGTCGGCTCCCCGTCCGGTCACTGTGAACGGGACTGGGGGGACGTTTACAGATGCTACGACGCTATACGGCGCTCATACTCGCTCACAGAATCAAGCGCACAAGATAACTGCTACTGGCAGAGCGCCCTTTCCTTCGCCTCATCCCGCTTCGATGGGGTTTAGAGGCACAAGGCCCTCTGTGACAGGAGTCGGATGCCGGATGAAAAGGTCCCATGAGCCATGCCGAGCCATGCGGGCCACATGCCACTGTGATCTTCTTAAGAAAACGCCGAGTCCTTGCCAGGTCCGATGCAATTGTGGAGTTCCTGCGCAAGGACGTGTCGTCGTGCTTGAGCAAGACAGTGCATTATTTCTGAATGTTGAGTTTGCTTCAGGACCGGGATGGTTGAGCATGTTCAGCTCTCCATCTCCCCAGCAACATCCAGTAGCTTCTGAAGCTCCGACAAGCGACTCCAAGACTGCAAGTGGCTGTGGACGGAAAAAATAACAGGTCATCGCATGTCATCGCGTGTCTGGTATTTGTTGTTTGTTCAAAAGGGGTGCAGCATGGCGCAACTCGCCATTCCAAGTTTCCATGCGGCCCTGCCCATGCCCTTGACCTCCGTTCCCTCCGCCATTCTCTCCGCCGTTGGCTCGGCAGCATCCATCCCCGGGAAAGCCCAGGCTCTACACAAGTGCTCAAGCGCAAGTGCTCGCATCATCGTATCATCTCGTATTCGAGTCCTCCGCTAATCGCCCCAATGTCGAAGATGGAGCCGTGAAGAGTCCGTTGAATTTGTGAACCTCTTGTCAGCAGGTCCCGGAGAGATGCCAGCCACACGCACGCGGGCGTCGCGCGACTGGGACGAGCAAAGATAGGCGGGTGTACTGAGAGATGTGGGAGTATGTGATTTCCCTCACCCACGCTTTCTGATGCTTTCTGCGCTCGGCGAATCTTCCCTCACTTCGTGACACTTCGTGAAGTCATGCTTGCCTCAGACCAAGGTAAGCATCTTACAGAGTATCAAGGATGGCCCAAAGGCCGAGCTCTGCATTGCGGATGCACTGCTGGCAATTTCAACAAGCGTATCCAGGCATATATCCCATGAGCGACGGCTGGGTGCCACCATGCTATCCGAAAGAAGAGGCCTACGGGATGACTGCAACGTCGATGGGAAGGGCCGAAGCTTTGTCTTTGTAAGTGCCTCACGAGGAGCTGATTGAGTACGAAGAGAAAATGAAGGCCCGAAAGAAGGCGACGTTGGTGAAGCGTTCCCTGGATTTAACAAGCCTTTGTTCAGAGCGTGGTGTTGAATTTCCAGGGCTGCTTCTAATTGCCAGCTCAGACATCCTGTTGCAAGGCAAAGCAGCACATGTTGAGCGGGCCATGTAGTATGTCTGCTTGTCCGAACCAAGGTCACCTTTGCCTCAAGGACCGTCACTGCCGCCAGTTGCTGGTTGGTGGAGATTTGCATTGCCAGGGGTGGACATGTCCCTTTACCATTCACTCCTTCAAGCGTCTGAGAAGGAGCCTCAGCTACAGCGCCTTTCCAAGCGAGGCTTTGCCCAGAAAAGCCTAGATCTCAGCTTACCTTTGGCCTATTTATGGTTGCGCCCCGGCGTGTGGTTGTGGGTTGGCTTGGGGTTGGGGTTCAGGGTTTAGAGTCCAGGGCTTATGGTTTAGGGCTCAGGGGCGGGATGCCCGGAGGTGGGGGGGGACGGGGGGAGAGGGCAAGCTCCAGCAGCTCCAGCACCCAAACGCTGTATAGAAGGAGAGGTGTGGCCTGACCACGTGCCAGGTGAGTACTCCATGCTGGCCTACGCTATCGCGGAGGGTGAATACTCTGGCGAAGGCTGTGAGGGTTTCAGGAAACTGCATGGACACCATTACCCGTTGCAGACAAGTCTCATCATCTTCAGCCTGGATCAACTGGAATTTGGTTCTCAAGCATCCCAAGCTGCACGTGCTGTGAGATGTCTTGCTGCCTGACCATACTGGCACCCGACCACTAGTGACCCGTGTGCTGCGCTGGAGTAACGGGGCAGCACTCTCCTTGTAAAGCAATTGCATCGCTCCATAGACAATGCCATCGCCCGGGGGAGGCGATGATCGGAGTTACTTCATCATCGTTTTCTACGAGCCTGGCAAGAAGAGCAAGGCTTTCCGATGCAAGTGACACTGCATTATTTCGCAGTAGTTGCCTGCGTGCAGTACCTCTTGCGCAGAAGGGATGAGGAGATGCGATGTGAGATGCGATGTAAGTGTACTGATATGTACTGCAAATCCCTTTGGGGGCGTGAGTAGGGTGGGCAGGGAATGGCAGGGACAAAAAAAAACAACTGGGCCGACCAAGCCGGAGCACTCACTATGCGCAGCAATCGCAGCAGCGACGACATCAACATAAAGAGCATGAGTAGATTTACCGCAGGAGGCTTTCCGATCAGAGTCAGGGATGTCAGGGGTTTACTGTCAGCTCTTCATTGTAATCTTCGGGCGTGCTGCTGACTCACACGGTTTTCGAGAGGGAGGAGGACGTTGCGGGATCCTCTCTGTCCAGTTTTAGAGAACAAAAGAGAAGCCCGGAAAAATGAGCCCCGAAGCCTAACACCTAACGCGTTTAAGGAGCCCGGTGCCGACCAGACTAAGTTGCTTTTTGAGTGGAAGCTTGATGATTGAGGCTTGTTTTGAATATGTAAACTTCAGCTAAGGCCCTCAGAAGCTGATGGCCTTGTGAGTTCATTTCAAGCTGACAAATTTTGTAATCTGCTAATTATTCAAACCGATTGTCACACGCAACATCCGATACACGGGGCTTTTCAAGTTCTATGCAGTTTGGATAGCGCCCGGGAGTCATTCAACAAAACAAGCTCCTTAACTTCGTCATAAATCCGATTCTTCCGTTGCAATCATGATGAGGGATCCGAAACGCTATTAAGCCCGCAAGATTGAAACAAAACACTCAAACACTCAGTTTTTATCAAAGATTCGGTTGTGCGCGGTATCCAAAATTGCCTCCAACATTCTCCCGAGCCATCTTGGATTTCGGACCTTGGATCTCAGTCGGTAGACATCTTCAAGCACGTATTCAATTGCATTCTATGGTCGGCTGCAATACAAGATTGCCCGGAAGAAGCTTTTGGGGCAATTTTGGATCCATGCGAGTCCCAGGATTGAAATGCTGGAAAACCCTTCACATTTCAATTATTGGTTGGGCCTGGTATCCAAGATCGCCTTGGAAGTTCTCCGCAATTGTGGCCTCTCATCCTCGTCATCCTAGCCTCGTTGTATGCCCATCCAGAGGTTGAGCGTGCGTTCAAGTCCGTGGGCGCAGCGCTGGCCGACTACGAGCAGGTGTCAGAGCCAGAAGTCTCTAAGCGTAACCAGGGAGGTGATCCCACTTAGTTGCTGAGCTCAGGGATGACGCTCTTGCACCACTTGGGTACTGCTGCGTCAGGTGGTGGTCGATCCTGATTCCAAAATGGAGCAGGAGGCAAGAAGTTGTTGTGACTGCTGCGACTGCTAAGGTTCTGGGCACTGATGTTGGCACGTTTAGACATTCCTCAAAACCGTCGGCAAAGAAGCTTTTGGGTCTATCCCGAAGCTCTGAACCTGTAATTTCTGCACTACAGTCTGGGAAGTTGTCCGCCGCTCACACGAAGAGCAGATTCACTTTATCAGCCAATTGTGTTGGGGAATTTGGGGATGCGTGACGCGGTACAAAAGTCCTGGAGCTGACTGCTTTCTCAGGAGAAGTTCATGTACGCGCACGGAGCAGGCGAGCCTGGAGAGTGCATTATGGGCGAGCCGGGCTCTCAGCGCCAAGGAGGGGCGCATCCCCAAAGATTCCCCCCCAAGTGTCACGTGTGCGAGTGCTGCCGTGACCGAGGTATGAGTATCAAGTGGTGCCCAAAGGAAGCCCCGAGTATGATGACCCTTGGGGTCCCACACACCCAGAAGGCCAGCTGGAATTGTCAGTATTTGCCGTCTTCATCGCAGATCTGCCGTGACTCTGAGAGACACATTGGTGCTTCGAACGCGCGTTTGCTTTACAACAGAGTGTAAGGATTCTCGAATTTGTGATCCCATCTTTAGGGAGTTGATCTTATTCCCACGTTCGCCGTGTGACTCAAATGCATCAGGCAGATTCTGGGAGTGAGCCCGAGCCTGTATGATATTCCAGAGAGAGGAGCAGGACGATTAGGGTAGGATGTGCGAAGCCGAAGCTGGCGGCAACGACAAAAACGTAGCAGGTTATAGCTGCTCCCATGTAGACTGGAGCGCGGCTGGGGTACAGGCTTCCCATGCACTCAATGTTGCTGTCAGCTGCCAGTCCCAAAAATGGGACACCTGCAGGTCTCTGCGTGGCAAATGCGCCTTAGCAATGTCCTGCTCTTCCAGTCATGCCTGCATGCCAACGGGCATCCAGGAAAAACAGGTCTTGCTTTCTACAGGCATCCGCCTCTGCTTTGCATCATTGGTCCCACACCCCTCCTCTTTCTCCCATGCCGGGGCGAGGTTTTGCATGATGTTTTGCATGATGTTTTGCATGATATTTTGCATGATGTTTTGCATGATGTTTTGCATGGTTTGCAGCACTTGGCTTAGTGGCACGTGCGCGGCAAAGGGTCCCGCGCTGCCTGTGCCCAAGATGCTCCGGCCTTATTTCTCTAGTGTGTTCTTTGGTTCACCCTTACACAGGTTTCTCATGACATGCCCGGCTAGTGCTTGGGTTTGTTTCAGGGCGCAGGATCTTGATGCTCATGATGCCTTCTTCGTGCCCTTAGTGCGAACATCCTTTCATCTGGACTGCGGTCCTTCACCACCGGGGGCTTTGAACCATCTGGGGGTGGTTGGGGTGGTTGCAGCTGCTGCGTGCCGTCGGCGCATGAATGCCTGCAGATGCTTGTGTAACTTGTCATGCATCTCTTTCTGTCTGCAAATGGGTTGCCTCTTGCCCGACAAGATCGGAACTCCCCAGCAGCATTCTGTCATCTGTGTGTGTGTGTGGAAGTGTTGTGGACGGTAGCTGCGAGTCTGCGGCTCGCCCGTTCGCGTGGGTGTGGGTGTGTGGGTGTGTGGGTGTGTGGGTGTGTGGGCGTGTGGGCGTGTGGGCGTGTGGGCGTGTGGGCGTGTGGGCGTGTGGGCGTGTGGGCGTGTGGGCGTGTGGGCGTGTGGGCGTGTGGGCGTGTGGGCGTGTGGGCGTGTGGGCGTGTGGGCGTGTGGGCGTGTGGGCGTGTGGGCGTGTGGGCGTGTGGGTGTGTGTGTGTGTGCGCGCGGTTCTCAGCGTTTCAGTCAATCTCAGAGCTCGGAGCTGTGGGGAGCAGTCTAAGGAGAGCCGCAACTGGCGTTCTGGCCTTCGTAGTGTGGCCCTCAGGATTGCAGAGGTCTTCGAGCGGCTCGCACATGGCAAGATGATGCCCCTGTTGCTTCTCTCTGTGCACCTCCTAAAGCTTACAGTCTGTAATGTTCAGTGCCGGGACCGCCCAAGAACAATCGCAGCGCTCAATGCAGATGTTTCAGCTCCCCCATTACAGCGCTTTTCCTGGAGACTTACCATAGCCGTGCAGTGCTTGCCAGGGCTCCTCCCAGGCCTTCTATTTGTTGCTCGCCTGCACGAAAGCAGTAAGTGTGCAGCGACATGTCCTGTGCACTGTTCCTTTGACTGGGACAGCTTCGAAAAACGATGAATACCTATGTGTGTGGCATTTATTGGGCCTTCAGCGCTTCAGGCCGGGAGTTGCCCCCATCGAATACTCGGAGGGGGCACGCGTGGAACTCAAGGTCAACAAGCTCATGCCTCAGAGCGAACTGCTCTGAATCATCGGCTGAATCACTCTTAGACTAGTTCTGTCATCAGCCCCATGGGGGGCCGAACTGATAAGATGTGTCTGCCCTGCAGCCTCCGCATGACAGGCTGACGTCTGTCAAAACTCAGCTACCGTATGGCTATTACACGCTGGGAGCCGAGACCATCCACCGATTTGGAGAGAATAATGTGCACAGCGTCATGTTCTTACCTGATGGATCATATGTTTTCTCCTGCTTTTCGGGGCCTCTTTGAGGCTGCCATTCTGCAAGCCGGAGAGTGGGATTGTAGAGAGCGTGGAAAACCTGGGCGAGATCTTGGCCTCTTGGGCAGCACTGCGCATTCGACACATCAGGCACAGGAGGCACAGGAGGCACAAGTGGGGCTTGCAGAGAGGGTGACTCGAGTTTGAGGGTATTGGTTGAACAGAGGATCTCAGACAGCTTGGATGTTAGGCTGGAGATCTCATTGAAAACTCGGCCTTTGATTTACGAATGGGCCTTGGCCTCAGCTCACCACTTGTCAAGACACAGGTAGGTTGTCCGGCTGCCTGGGGCGTTACATGACTTCCACAGATGCAGGCGAGGATGAGAAGTGCAAAATGCTGTGCAAAAGACCACTAGAAGCTGTCGGAGCCCCGGAATGGACGCGATGTCGCAGCGACAGCAGATGCTTCACCTTGTCCCAGTCTACTAGGTCAGCAGGCGAAGCTTGTAACCCTTGGAATAAGGCTGACAAAGAGAAGTTTCGATCACGGATCGACGATGAGTACCTAGCTCAGCCCTCAGACTGCGATTCTCCACGGACGCTGAAAGTGTGAGAGCTTCAGAGAAGCTTCATGAAGCTTCAGAAAAGCTTCAGAAAAGTGGGCTGCATTGGCTGCATTGGTCTGCCATCACAACATATTGTGAACAACTGCGCCCGCCCCAGCAGGCCGCTTTTTTCTCACGTGCCAGGTAAACTTCATTGTTGACAATCTCCCAGCCGCGGGCCCAGCGACACGGCACAGACAGTTGTTTGAGCTGTTTCCCAGCAGCTGTAGCTCGACCGGCAGCCCTGCTTTGAGCCGTGCTGTCCAGTACTCACTGCCCACAGTCGCATCCTTTGACTCTTGCGAGGCTGCCACAAAGTATGTTCGCAAAAGTGACGGTGGTGAGTTCACGTGCCCAACTGGAGAAGCCAGTCACTTATGCAAAGTCAGGCCTTGTCAAGGGGACATGTTGTTACAACGTGGGCATTGAGCCATCGGCGTCACAGGGAGACTTGGGTGGGCGGGGCTGTTCATGTGCAGTCGATTGATTGTTTGGCGTTCTAGCCCATTTCGGCCGCAAGATACACAAGCTCAGTTTCTCAGTTTGGAAAGATTTTGAGGCTCCCCGTTTGGATTTGAAAGCCTACTTGTTCAGCCAGATTAGCAGCAGCATCTGGAAGTCGAGTGTCTTGTTCACATCGGTTTTCTCATATGATGTCTACAGCGCTTGATGCAGGCACGGCCAGCGGGAAGTAAACCACCTAAAGGTTGCGCACGTGGGCAGAAGGTTGCAGGATGTGTAGACTGTCAGCGCGAGGCTGTAGTTTGCTCGCGTATCGCCCACGAGATGTTGCAGATGCTTGCAATCTCTCCCGGGGTGCACCACTTCGCAGAGAATGTAGGTTTTGCAACGAAAGCGCATAGATCTACACGGAAGCACTGAAAGTGTGGAAGGTGAGGGCGGCCTCCCTGTCAGTGTGCGATCCTGTCTGCAACGAAACCATGCCGAACTCGAGCAGGTGCTTCGTGCCTCGGCAATGGAACATTCGAACATTCATATTCTCAGCAAGGCAGAAGGAGGACTAGGAAAACTACCACGGAGGACATATGGGAGGTACATTTAGGAGGAAAATTGGTGGGAAAACAGAAATACTGATAATACTGGAAATCGCAAGATCCAGAGTCAACGCAGCAGATAGTGTACTACCATTTTTGCTGCCATGCTGCCCGGCCCATGTTTGCACCTCAGGCGACTGGGTGGCTGAGTTTGCGGCTACACAGGATGCGTGGCACCATACCGAGGCTTCCGCGCATGCTCACACAAAGATTGCGTAATATTGGCGAGTGGTCCCGTTGGGTGTCCATGTGTACACAGGTAATTCCAGCAGAGCATGGGACGAATGGGACGACGATGGTCTCTTGGCAAGTGTTGGGGCAGCTTGTTTCTCTGCAGCGATCCAGCACCAGTTAATAAGGCCGTGTGACTTTTAAAGAGTTGATCCCTTTGAAATCATTTGTCCGGCGCCGCCTGTCTTAAAGCTGTGCTGTGGCCATCCAATCGTTTCAAAATAGCCTCTGTGCAAAATGCTTTCAGGAAGAGCCGCTCTTCGGTCCCAGGACAGAGCGAGCTGCAGTAAACGGATGTCGTATGTTTGGAAACAATACGTATCAGAATCACCATATGTCCTGGTTTGTTTGAGTACAGGTGAAGACCGCTGCACGTAAAGATTCGTTGATCCCTCCCTCATCTGCACTACCCTGTGCCACCTCATGCCACCCCCTTCACTTTGCTCTTGTGTGCACTTGTGCAGGACTGGGCCAGGCTTCAGGCGTCCACCAAAGTGCATCGAAGGCATGCCAGCCAGAGCGGGTTGGGAAGATGTTCGAGACCTTTGGGCTTGCGATCTTGTGCGGCTTGTTCTCTGTTCTCCAGATGACGAAATGCCGGCGGACCCAGAGCAGCAGTCCCCAGAGGAGGCCTGTGGGTCGTTTTGGAGCAGCGTGTATCAGCGTGTTCTCCGCCCCCGGGCCCCCCGTGTCCTGCGGGCCGGGCAAGAATTCTTGACCCATGACCTTCTGTGCCTTGCTCTGGCAGGACTCGCGCTGGCTGGGTGCGGACTTTTCCGCAGCTGACCTGAAATCATGGCCGAATTGAGCCTTAAACGACCACCATAGCGCCTAGTGTTTTAGTGGTGCCAAATTCAGCTTCCACCTTCGCCGACACATCCTTGCTTCCTGCAAGTTGTGGCAGCTGTTTACAGCACTTCTGAGGAAGTTGCCAGACCTGAAGATGCGGCATCAGAGGATTCAGAGACTTGGTCACGACTTGCAGAGACATGTTGGACTTCAGAGCGACAAAGCGGAGGAGTCAGGGGATTTGCGCAGCGTGGAGGGGTGGAGGGCATTTTCCTTTCCGAGTGCACAATGTGAGTGCACAATGTGAGGCGGACACAGAATCGAGTCTACCGGCTCTTTGAAATCTCCGCCTAAAAACGCAAAAGTCCGACTCTCCGACTCTCCTTGGTGCAAAGGAGAACAGCGAGAACAGCTTGGACAAGATGCGGCAGACCGTTGCCGCGGCCAGGTTGGCAAAGAGAGGCGGGAATCGACGGTTGAAGAGCAAAGATGGGGTGATGTATTTGCACAGCATCTGCTAGGTACATTCATGCAGAGGAGTCTAATATGCAACCGCTCAGCGAAGGAGGGTTTAACATGTAGCAGCTCAGCAGATGAGTATTGCAGTATGCTGTGATGCATGGCCCGTGCTCCTCAAAGGCTCGCGTGACACCCGCGAGAGCACTCGCAGCACCGCAAGAAGCATCTGGAAGCAACCGGATGAATCGACGTGGAGCCCCTTGCCTGCAACTCATGATGTCAACATCGTGTGCTGCAGCGTCCGACGGCATCACGAGGTTATGTGCAGAGCATCAGCCGGGTGATCTTGCGCAGGGGCCCTGGAGGTGGAGTAGAGACGAGGAACCTGCCATAATTTTATTGCTAGGCGGCATGTCCGTCGCGCAGCCAGCGCAGGGGGGGTGGTGGTGGGGGGGCGTGGGGTGGTTTTTTTTTTTTTTTGGGGGGGGGTGGGGGGGGCAAGGGGAACGGGGGCCTCAGGCAGCATGTCCGTCGGACAACAAGCGCTCGCACTGTCGCTTCACCTGTGTTGCGTGTTGCTTGCCAGAGTTATCCTAGAGCTGGTGCCTATCGACTTAGCACGAGGCTCGTGAGGCTGATTGCAGGTGTGCCCAAAAAATTAAAAGGCCTGAATGTAGAGTTATCCTAGAACCCCCTCCGAAAAATCAAAACATGAAGGCCTATACCCCTGTGTGTCCCAAAACATCTACTCTAAACAGGCCTAGATCACAGCCACCGGCAGCTTGAGGAGTCGGTGCATCGACCTCCAAGATTTCCAGGCGCAATCCTATAAACCGTCCCCACTGCAGCCACCAACGGGGCCTGCGCCATCACAGTACCCGCCAACCCTTGCACGACCAGAGCCACCCATGCAACCGCCACCAATGCAGCCACCAGCGGAGCCTTCGCTACCAGCGCCACCCGTGCAGCCACTGGTGCTGCAATCCCGAATGCAGGCCATGGGCCTTCGTATTGGGCTGCTCGAAGGGCAGCTTGCGTCTTGCCACAAGCAGGCGCCTTTGATGGATGAACAACAGCTGCAAGGCAACTTTGCTGTAATTCAGCGCCGCGCATTTCCATGTGAATCACGGGATCCGGGAAGCTGCTGTATTGCTGCGCGCTAAGAGGAGTTGCATGGTGTAACTCCAGCGTGCCCCATTGGACTCACGGGACAAGTCAATTCGTGATACTTGTGGAGCTCCTGTACCCTTGCCCACCATGGAACTCTCAGAGTCCCCCCTACGAAACCTACCCTTCCTCCCACCCAGCAGGCGGCCAGCAGCTCCACCGTGGCCTCCTTCGACTTCACCAGAAGCGACGCAAGCACTTCGGGCGGTACGCGTCGGCAAAGGCCCCAGCGTATGTCACGCCCTGTGTTTTCTTGCCGCAAATTTCACATGGCAAAGGCCCCAGTGTATGTCACGCCCTGTGTTTTTTTGTCGCAAATTTCACATGGCAAAGGCCCCAGCGTATGTCACGCCCGGTGTTTTTTTGACGCAGATTTCACATGGCAAAGGCCCCAGCGTGTGTCATGCCCTGTGTTTTTGTGTCGCAAATTTCACATGGCAAAGGCCCCAGCGATCCCTAGCGTACGTCACGCGCAGTGTTTTTTTGTCGCAAATTTCACATGGCAAAGGCCCCAGCGTATGTCACGACGCAAATTTCACATGGCAAAGGTCCCAGCGTATGTCACGCCCTGTGTTTTTTTGTCGCAAATTTCACGTGGCCAAGGCCCGAGCGGTGGCCCTGTTTTTTGTCGCAAATTTCACATGCTGGCAAAGGAGCAAAGGCCCCAGCGTATGTCACGCCCTGTGTTTTTGTCGCAAATTTCACATGGCACAGGCCCCAGCGTATGTCACGCCGGCGTATGTCACGCCCTGTGTTTTTTGTCGCAAATTTCACATGGCAAAGGCCCCAGCGTATGTCACGCCCTGTGTTTTGTTGTCGCAATTTCACATGACAAAGGCCCCAGCGTATGTCACGCCCTGTGTTTTTGTGTCGCAAATTTCACATGGCAAAGGCCCCAGTGTCTGTCACGCCCTGTGTGTTTTTGTCGCAAATTTGACATGGCAAAGGCCCCAGTGTGTGTCACGCACTGTGTGTGTTTTGTCGCAAATGTCACATGGCAAAGGCCCCAGCGTATGTCACGCACTGTGTGTGTTTTGTCGCAAATTTCACATGGCAAAGGCCCCAGCGTATGTCACGCACTGTGTTTGTTTTGTTGCAAATTTCACATGGCAAAGGCCCTGGCGTGTGTCACGGCCTGTGTTTTTTTTGTCGCAAATTTCACATGGCAAAGGCCCCAGCGTGTGTCGCGCCCTGTAGCAAACGCCCCAGCGTCAGCGTATGTCACGCCCTGTGTGTTTTGTCGCAAATTTCACATGGCAAAGATGGCAAAGGCCCCAGCGTATGTCACGCCTTGTGTTTTTTTGTTGCAAATTTCACATGGCAAAGGCCCCAGCGTATGTTACGCCCTGTGTTTTTTTGTCGCAAATTTCACATGGCAAAGGCCCCAGCGTGTGTCGCGCCCTGTGTTTTTTTGTCGCAAATTTCACATGGCAACGGCCCCATCGTCAGCGCATGTCACGCCGTGTGTTCTTTTTGTCGCAAATTTCACATGGCAAAGGCCCCAGCGTGTGTCACGCCCTGTGCAGAATTCACATGGCAAAGGCCCAGTCGTATGTCACGCCCTGTGTTTTTTTGTCTCAAATTGCACATGGCAAAGGCGCCAGCGTATGTCACACCTTGTGTTTTCTTGTCTCAAATTTCACATGGCA